AGACAAGATGAGCTTATAGTCACCTATTATGCCATGTAGACTTTAATCTACTGACATATATTTTAGATAAGAACATTCTTGTGCTACTAAATTGACTAAAAAATCCACCAGTTTAAAGCCCTCAGCATTTTAACCTGCAATCCAGAGGAGGGGGAGAAAAAAAAAATCCAAGTATCTTTCTCCTCAACTATAATTTATATTATGTCAAAGTTTCACTAACACAATATACACAGATAGATCCATCTTCTAGTCTGGTGGTTCACAAATTTGGCAGAGCATCAAAAAAAAGTAAAACAAAATAATAAAGCTATTATGAATTTTCCCAGATATTGTTACAACTAGCAACAGTAAACATTTCTTTTAACAAGCACTTGTTATGATACCAAGCAATGCTCAGACTTTATAAAAAGTCACACAGCACATAACATTTCGGTCAATTGCGGACTGCATATATGACAGTGGTCCCATGAGATTATGATATTATATTTTTACTGTGCCTTTTCTATGTTTAAATATACAAATACTTACCATCATGTTAGAATTGTCTATAGTATTTAGTACAGAAACATGCTGTGTAGGTTTGCTGCCTAGGAACAACAGGCTATAACATAAAGCCAAGGTATGTAGTAGGTGATACCATCTAAGTTCCTGTGAGTACACTCTGATTTTTGTATGAGGACAAAATCACATAAGAATGCATTTCTATGACTGTATCCCCATTGTTAAGTGACACGTGATTGTATTACTGCATTACTAATACTTAAATAACTTAGCTAGATAGGAATTAGTCTCATTTTTGAAATGAGGTGTGAGGACAAGAATGACTTTACTTTTAAATGCTATTTCACCTAACACCCAGTACAGGAATGCATCCAAAATGTCCAGTTGATTGATATTAATATATTACTCTTTATGAAGAAACACCTATTCATTTTAAGTTTCGCTTTTCCTCCAAAACAACACTTGATGTTGTTGCAGAAATCATACGCTGTGATGCCCATAGCCACCTACACATTCCTTCTAGAGCATGCATACTTTTTCCCTAAGACTTAAGTCCTGGGTCTGGAAGGTTGCAGTGTGGAGATCTACCTGTCTTGCACCTGCCCAAGACTCTGCTTTTGTCAGTAAGTTCCCCTAATAAATCATGCTATACTGATAAACTGGATTTGTCTGCCTCCTTCTTCGGTTTCTTGGCTCCTTTGGCATTTGGGGGTGGCTTTGCATAGATGGCCCTTTTAAGGAACATGAGGTAACTGAAGCTCAGAAGAAATGAGCTCCGTTCCCAATGCTACATGCTGTTAATAACTTGCCCCAGGACTACACAGCTCCTGAGGAGGGCTGCTGCACCACATGATTCCAGAGATACCTCTCACGTGACGCCTGGTACTGGCACATGCGCTCTTTTGACAACACCTCAGTGCCATTTACGGTCTTTCAATTTTTTTCTTTAAATATTAGCACATATTTTAACATTTGTTTCACAGAGATAAGAAGCGACTAACAAAGATCTTGGGGAACCCTTTCTTTACATACTAACAAAAAAACTTCCATTAACAACCTGAACTATAACATAGCAACTATTACATCTTGAAATAATCACTAAGGGGGAATTAATCTAAATAAAATCAGTGCTACCGTATTTTCTATGTCTTATCTTATTATATTTGAAACACATAATTTACCTTTCAATTTGTGGAGGCTGCTTCTTGGACTGAACTGCTTTGAGAAATTCAGTAAAATATTCTGGCTTTACAATTGGACGTCCACAAATGAGTGCACATATTGTCTAAAATGAAGAAAACATGTGAATATACATACTTATATGTTCGCTGTTTTAAAGAAAAGTTTTAAGTTATAAACTACAAAGAGGCTGTTCTATACTGTGTTTCTCTTCATCTCTCTAAATTTATAAAGGAGGTACAATATATAAACTAGAAGTCAGTATTTGGTCACAGCTTAGTTTTTAGAACAAGAAGCTTTATAAGAAGCTATCAATTACAATATTAATTTAAAAACTTCTTAGTGAGAGTAGACCATAAAAGTCAGTCTTCAAAATGCATTCCAATTTCAAAAACCTTAAAATGTTAAAAGTATATCTTAGAATTGAGGAAATGTAACATATCTGCTATAGAGAAGACAATATCAAGAGATAAAGATAAGGGAGAAGATCTTTTCAGTCTTATTGCCTTTCACAAAGATTGTAGCTGTGCAATAAAGCCTTTTCAAGAAAGTAAACAAAAGAATAACTAGGGTTAGGTAAAAGCTCAAAATAAGTACATACAGATAAGAAGGGGAAAAAAAAGAAGCTTCAACTAACACGTGAATTAAGCTATAAACCTCAAGTAAGATACATCAAAAAATCTGAGAAAAATTAGAAAATGTCACAGTGGGCAATGAAAATAAAGAAGTACAATTGCAGGAAAAAAATCCAACTAATGAGTTTATATGTATGCTTTTAATAACACTGGGTGTTGCCTAAATAGCAGCAAGCAGATTTAGGGTGTCGATCTCAAGAATGGAAACTGAAAGACAACAACCTCCAAAGTGAATGAAATAATTAACTTCCAGCATGAAGCAGTAATGTGCAATTCAACACTGGACTCAGTAAATTCTGACACCTGTGACTCTGGGGAAAATTATTTAATTGCTCCATGCCTCAGTTTGTTCTTCAAAATATACATCATTTTTTCAAAAAGACACCCACATTCAAATTTCTATTGCAGCACAATTCACAATTGCAAAGATGTGGAATCAACCTAAGTGCCCATCAATTTAGGAGTGGATTACCAAAATGTGGTATATATACACCATGGAGTACTACTCAGCCACAAAAACGAATGAAATAATGTCTTTTGCAGCAATTTGGACAGAATTGGAGACCATTATCCTAAGTGAATTATCTCAGGAATGGAAAAACAAACACCACATGTACTCTGTAATAATTAGGAATGAATCAATGGACACTCATGAGCACAGAGAGATGCAAAGGTCATCGGAAATCAAGACCAGGGAAGCGGGGAGGAGGGAAGGGCTAAAATCCTACCTATCAGGTACAATGAACACTATTTGGGTGATGGGCACACTAACAGCCCTGACTTAAGTATTATAAAGGCTA